AATGTTTATTTGTTTTGCCAAAATTACTAATACCAAATTTTATTTGTTTATTGTTTTTTTGCATACTCACTTTAAATATTCCATCAAACCACAACCACAAACCACCATTACTACTATTCTCACAACCACAACCAACAAACACCATCACCAATCACCATTCAACAACCACAAATCGTCCTGCTAACAATAACAAAATGAAAATCGCTGAATGATTTAAACAAAATGGAAACATAAAATCATTGAAAAAAAAACATTGGCGCTTTAAATGCATACAAAAAAAAAAACATCAAAAAATAACCAAATTTCTTACGCTTACGAATTGGAAATGAAATGAATTGGACTTACAAACATATGCAAATGCTTTTGTGGGGAATTTCATTCAAACTAAATCAATGCAGATTCTATCAAAAATATCACGAGCTGCGCGCACGCATAAAAGCCAATTCATGTCCCATACTGCCGGCCACACAACTCAATAGTAACAACAGTAGTAACAGTAATAGCCGCAATAACAATAGCAACAGTAGCAATAGCAATAGCAATAACAACATCAACAATAATAGCAATAACAGTAACAATATAAATAACAGTAAAAGTAACAACACCAACATTATCAATAATCCCACAAGCGCATTAGGCAACGTTTACACGCCCATTCCAAATTATTCGGTACAAAGATCGGCTTCACTCAAAGATCATAGAAATTACAGGTTTGTTAATTTTCTTTAATTTAAATTTTAAAATCAAATTTCAAAAACAAAAAAAATCATAATTTTTAAACCATTTCGCTTAGTCATCAATTATTTTGTTTGTTGTTTTATCTTTTTGCTTTACTTAATTCATTTTCATCGCTCATCGCTAAATAGTTTGTATGCGACGAAATTTGCTTACTTATAAATCTTGTAAATAAATGCTTGCAGTAAATTACTTTTGAGATTTTATATACTTTTAACTTACTTAAAAGCATTAAACATCGTGTTTTTTATTTTCAACTTTATTTTTTGTACTCTGCCACAGAAGCAACTCGACAAATACATCGACCACATCAATAACGGCGGCATACACCACCAGCACGCCATCAACAGCTGATTCGACTGCGTCTATAACGACAAGCACCACCACCACCACCACTCCATCGACAGCTGCAACTACGACACCGATTCGCAGGTGAGTCTTTAATACGAACATCTACTCTGAACATAAAAAAAAAAATAAATAAATTCGGTACTGAATAAGTTAACTTAGTCACCGTATACTCCGACTGCGCACTTGGTGGTGACATACCTACATATTTTCCCATACGTTTCTTTTAACCGCAATCATTTATTTATTTTTTACACATCATCTTCTATAATTTCTTTTGAACTTCATAATTTTCCCCCACTTCATAGCACACCTACTAGTTCGGCAAATGCTGACAAAGGTGCCACAAGTGCTGCCAGCACCAGCACTACCAGCAATAATAAAAACAATCAAAACAATAATAATAATAAAATCAGCAATACGATCACAAATTCAAACACTGCCAATAATAACAATGATAACGGTAATAATAAGATTGATAATGACCCTAAACAGTCATCGTCATCGTCATCATCAACTTTGTCCGGTCCGTCTACTTCCCCCGATGCAGCTGCGCCAACCACTACTACAAAGCAGAAAATGTCGGCAGGCACAATTTTCAAAAATTTCTTCAAGTAAATATTCACTATACGAAGTGGAAATTTATTGCGCTGAATTTCTTTTATTGTTGTTTGTTTAACTTTTGTGTTTGCTTCTAATGTTTGCTCTTAATTTTTTTGTTTCTAACTGGAATTCTTGGATTCAGGCTGCGCCAGTTGCTTATACTGTTGTATTTATTTGTTGCATATTGCGCGCCATCTTTTAACTGCACTAACTCGACGATTGAAATTTTAAAATTTATTAAATTAATTAATAGTTATTGTTTTTATGTAAATACTAGCCGACCCGGCGATCTTCGTCCCGCCCGTAATTAGATTTTTAATTTAATCGTTTTGGTCCAACATTTTCTCCAACAGTCCACGATTTCCATTGGCAAATTCATCGGCTAAGATTATGGTTTGGTGGTCGTTCGCCGCCTTAAATAAACTAACCAAAGTGTTATGTCCATGAAGAAGGTCCCCGGCGGCAACAATGATCCGGATCTGTAGTGAATTTGCCCTAAAAACTTTATCTTATAGTTGGTGGCAATTTCAAAATGGATGCGTATCCTTGTTCAACAGAAATACAATATACATACATAGACTGAGATGAAATACCATAAAAGCCAGTTTCACGAAAGCAATTTAAGTGAAAAATTATTTTTTTCTGTCAGATTCTATATTAAATTCAATTAAAAAAATAAAGCTTCATTAAATTGCTTTTATTAAACTGGATTTTAAGGTACTTCGACAGGGAGCGGTTTGAGATTTATCACTGCACAAATCAACCCTGGTATGTCCGAATGAAGGTTTACCGCATAATAATATTGGCAAATCACATCCATTAGGCCAATCGTAATACACGAGAGTTCGGTATACTGAATAATGCAACAGGTCGATTTAGTCTGACATTCACGGCACCTTTTCTCACTTGTCGATATTTAGTAATAACTCGACCTCAGCATCACCTCACATCTCTTTTTTGCAATTGGACTTCCTTTACCGTTTCCAATACATGTTTTGAATATTCGTCAAATCGGATCATAAAAAAAAGGTTTTTAGTAATAACTCAACTCCAGCGCCAACTGGCGGGTTAAATTGTGAAACTAAACTATCCAGAGACTCGCTCAAACACACACACACAACCTTTTTGAAATCCCTCCAGCCATTTAAGATTTCACTCAAACATACCTACAGAAGAATTATATACACATTCAAAGATAAGGAAAAGTCAGTACGCTTGTACTTTGCCATGCCCTCTTTTCAAAGAGCCTACTTTTCTCCATGAGTATGGGATTGATTTCATATATCTCCATACGAAGTTCCAGTACTGTACCATGAACACTTCCAGAGATATGCAGTATGTATGGTAGGTGCCACGCCCCCTTTTCCAATAGCTCCATATTTTCTCAATGACTATGCGATTAATTTCATATATCTCCACACCAAGTTCCAGTACTCTACCAAGAACAATTCTAGAGATATGCAATAAGAAAAATTCGACTTGTATGAGAGAGCTGGTATAAAGTTCCAGTACTCTTACCATAAACACTTCCAGAGATACTTCTTATGAAAAATTCGGTTTATATGGTTGTGGGTTTTCAAATAGTCCGAAATTTTATTCATGAGTATGCGATTGATTTCTACTATACCATGAAAAATTCGGTTTGTATAGGAGGTGCCACGCCCCTTTTCCAATAATTCCAATTTTTATCCATGAGTATGTGATTGTTTTTATATATTTCCGTACCAAGTTCAAAAATTTCTCCAATTTATATGGCAGGTGCCACGCTCCCTTTTAAAATAGTCCGAATTTTTCTTCATGAGTATGCGATTGATTTCATCTCCGCACCCAGTTCCAGTGCTGTACCATGAACACTTCCAGAGAAGTGCAGTATGAAAAATTCGTATTGGATGGGAGGGCCCACGCGCTTTTACAATAGCTCAAATTTTTCATATACATAGTACCTCCATACCAAGTTCCAGTACTCTACCATGAACATTTCCAGAGACGTACAGTGTGAAAAAATTCGGTTGTATATGAGGTGCCACACCCATTTTCCAATAGCTCCAATTTTTCTCCATGAATATGTGATGGATTTCATATATTTTCGTACCAAGTTCAAAAATTTTACCAGGAACGCTTCCACTACTTACTTTAGTTAGGATTAGACATGGGTTAGCCAAGGATTAGAGACATGAGCCTCTTAAAAGTAATAAGGGGTTTGATATTTTTTTTTATTTTGAGTTGCGTCGTTATTGCAGAGGACCATCGGCATGTGAATTCATATATTTCGATAATGAAATAAATTCGAGCATAAATACGATTTTTAGTTACATATAGTACATATTATTTTTCCTGTTATCAATACATATCTTAAATCTGAGGATAATCGGACCATAAGCCCGATTTTTAGTAATAACTCGACTCCTACGCCACCTGGCGGATTTTTTTTGCAGTGGTATTGTTTTTCCTATTGTCAATACACATCTCAAATATGAGGCGAATCGGACCAAAAATACGGGTTTTAGTAATAACTAGACTCCAGTGCCACATAGCGGTTGGTTTAATAGTTATTCTGCTATTCGGAAGGTAGACAAATTCAAGAAACAAATATCATAAAAATCGGTCCAGCCGTTCTTGAGTTATAAATGGTGTAACTAACACGACTTTGTTTTATATATATAGATGAGCAGATAAACTGGATGAAAAATTTGGTCGGTTCGGTTCAGCGATTTGAACGATTTTTGCACCTTTGTATTGGTTCGTCAAAATGGTTTGTTTATTGTTTCTTTGAACTGGGGTTTTAGTTCGGTTCAATGATTTGGGAATTTAAACAAGTAATTTTTAAGCAAAAATTAAAACCGACTTCAATTTTCATATACAAATTTAACAGTATCGTTAATTTCTTCATGATCCATTGATCGGATCTAAACCAAATTAATATGGGACCACCTCTGAGGTACCACCTTTCTTTAGAAAAAAAGAATTATAGAAATCAGTTAACGTGGTCCATGCGGTAACATACATAAAACAAAAATATTCCGACGAATTGATAACCTCCTCCTTTTTTTGAAGTCGATTAAAAAAACTATATATTTGTGTTATTTTTATTCCGGAACAATCTAATATAAAAACATATTTAATTGTCGAACGCTTTACATAGTAAAAAAATTTGCAGATTAGTGGAGAAAATGTGTCCATTAAAAATTGGTCGAAACGAACATTAAACCTTTATAAAAGTAAGTTCGGTTTTTGGTTCGGATCAAACTTTTGTGGAAGATTTGTGTTCGTTAATGGTTCAGTGAAGTTTGCAATTGCCTTCCGAGGGGTGGCCGCTTATAAAAAAAATCTTTGTGCTTTGATGTTGCCGGGAACAGGAATTGAACCATGGACCTAGAATAAGTGCAACTATATTAAATCACTAATAGCTGTAGATTGAGCGAAAATAATGCTCGGGGTAATGCAGATACACAAGCAAGATTTACTTGCCGACATTTCGTTGTCGGTTCCCCTAAATTTATACAAATTTTTTTTTATATTCGATTATGTGAAGTCCTATGAATTTTTAAACAGTCTTCTCTGGCGTAACAATTCTGATGCGAGTATACTGGCAATATTTTTTGATTTACCATAAATTATACCTCTTAAGTTTGCTGCGTTTCTACGAATTTATGCGCCCGATTTTTGTTTGTTTGAAGTGAGGCAGTTTTATTTATGTATATATGTATGTATGTAGACTAAAATGTCAGTGTATTAAATTAACCACATTTTAAACTTACGCATAAATTCAGCAGTTATCGCATTTAACAACTCGAGCGCCTTTTCGAACTCGCGGAAATTCTTCGATTCCAGCGCCAGCCTAAGCATACCCTTGCATGCCTTATGATTATTGTTCTTGAAAAATAGTTCACTACTTACACCAGCTACATTATATGTACATATATATGTATTATGCATTATCTATGGTTTATACATATGTATTTAATCTCACTCTCTTACTCACTTGCAGATCCTTTGTGCCACCCGTGCGTGACGAGGAGAGCGAAACACAACGTAAGGCACACGCTAAGCGCGTACGTGAGACGCGTCGCTCTACACAAGGTGTAACGTTGGACGAAATTAAGAGTGCCGAAGAGTTGGTTAAGAAGAAAAATTCAACCATGAATAACAACAATAACAGCAGCAGCGTAAGTACACAGTTAAAACAAATTCCGAACTAAAAATTGGCACTTACCGCATACTCGTTAATATCTAAGTGCAAAACAATTTAAAAAAACAGACTATATATTGTTACTATTTATTGTGCTGTATATGCATACATACTTACTACATACATACATTTGCCATAACGTAGCATTATTTCATCAAAATGGAAAAATGTCAACATGCATAAAAGTTATTGTTATACATATTCACATACATTTTTTTCCCCCAAATATATGTGCGTTTTAATAACTGTATTTGTGTAAAACTTGCAACAGTTAAAAACCAATGCGAAAACTCTCATCTTGTACCACCGTACAACAATGTCCTGCAGGAGTTTGTGTCGCCATCACCAATACCAACATCAACCCCACCACCACTTTCACCATTTCCACAGACAAACAGTCAACCACTGCAACCTTCAATTACCTAGCCCATTTAAAATTTCTATATTTGTATTGTATTTGTCTCTCATAAAAAAAAAAAAACATGTTGCACAGGTTACAGTCAATATCAAAAGTAAATACACAAATTTAAGTTGGAGTTCACATCTTACAATAGAAAAACAATGAAAAGTAATTGCTTTGGAAGCGGTGCTGTTATTTGATAATATTTAAAATGAATTTAGGATTTTACATACTTACGTATATATTATATTGTTTGTTGGTTTGGATAATCGATTAATCGTAGTACCAATTTCATCACAACCCAATCAATCCAAGCAACCACCACCAACCAACCAACCAACCAACCAAACAAACAGCCAATGCAATCACCCACAGTCCACATGTACACTTCAATTCTCACTAAATTACGCACTACTTGGATTTGTGGCCAACCACCTAGGGGCTTTGGAACTACTATAACTGTTTATATATTGCGGTGTTGATTTTTGTCGGTTATGTATCAATGTATAAAAAATACTATGTACTTTGCAAGGAAGATTTGTTTACTACTTACTACAGCACATTAGGAATAAAAACAAAAAAAAAATGGAAACTTTATACTTACATACAAATAATACGAAGGACTTGCATTAAATCTACATGCATTTTTCCATCAATAATATTGTGCATACATACATACATGACCTGTATTGTGCATTTTGAAGCTTTACATATGTATGTACTTTTAATGCTGCGTATATGGTGCTGTTTGTTTTAGTTTTTGCTAAAACATGCCATTAACCTCATAGCCTGTGTTGCAAAAAGAAGCGAATTGATCTTTAACAGCGTTTAAAAAGCAAAAAAAAAAATGTTTATCAAAAATGAAAATAAGTAGCGCAAAGCAAATGCGAAAACGCTTAAATAACGCTCAAAATTTGACAGCAACCGCCATTAGTTCCTTTAATGCAACTGAATATACTTATTTAGGAGCATCTGCACAGGATGATACGCGCCTTTCAAAACTCTACTTCTACTTATGTATCTTTACTCTTTAACTTGATTGAATAATTTCTTAGGGCAGCACTAGTATTCGTTACGATTACGTCGTTTTGTATTGCATAGTCGTTCCGTTAGTTTATAAGTTATTTTGAAATAAATAGTGAACAAAATATATACATATTTGTATTTTTTAACTAATTTAGAATGCTTTTATCTAAAAAAAATGTTGTTAAGTACCACAATGATGTGTTTATAGTATTTATATGCATACGTTATATAATTTTAAAAATATTTTAATATTAAATAGCGTAGTCATCATTAACAAAAGGCCATACATTCATACATACATAATATGCATGAAGTTCTTATAAAAAGATTTAAATGATATATTAAGTTATATTTCAGATTTTCATAATGAAACTCATAATTTTAGCATTAAATTTGAATATTTATATTCAGATAATGTTTGAACGTAGATTTTTAATTTTTATTTTTTCGATTTAAATTATTGGATTTAAATTTTTTCTACAGTTATGCTTTATTTCCATTTGGCATTAAATGGCAAAAATTGTAATGACAATGTTGGGCATAAAAAAATATACGTGTCATTACGTTGAAAAAAATAGTCATTAAATTAATTTCCATATGGCATTTTTTAAATGCCCCCATTTTTTTTGTCATTTTAATGCCTAGTGGAAATTCGCCATTAGTTTCAAACACAAGTTTTTGGCGCTTTTCGGACATACATACATAAGAACAAAAACCTGATTGAAAAAATTGAAAACCAATCAGAAAGGTCTAAAATTAGCGAAATTATCAAATCTTCGCGCATTAATCTGTTTTGATGCGAATTTATCTATCTGTGAGCAAAAAATAAAAGTCATAAAAAAAGATTAAAGCTGGTCGAGAAAATAACAATCAAAATACAATTAAAATTTGAAGCTTCCGATGAAAAGTTTTGTTATTCGAAAATATACCCTTAAGGTTTATTTTCTGTCTCTGGATTTGTGCATACGCGAGAACTTCGAATTTCCAATATTATCGTTCTAAAGTATTTTATGGGCAATGAGCAAACGGCATTCAAAAATTTCGAAAATATTACTTTTTTGTTAATGATGACGTTTTTAATTTTTATTTATATATACGTAGTAAGTACTTAAATGTGTTGTATGATTCTTGTATTTTAGTTGTTTAAATGCGCATTCGTTATTATGTTAAGAAATATTCGAAATGGAGATTTCGTTTTCTCGGAAATTGTCGCAAGTATTAAATAGTGTGCCATATATGTATGTAAGTACAGTTGTTCACAAATAATAGGAGTGCGATGTTTTCACCAGTTTTTTTTTTATTTGTTTAATGTTCATCAATCACTAATCCAAATTTTAAACCTGGTGCAAAAATTATAAATTTTCAACAAACGTTCACCAAAATTTCAAAAATTTTTAGAAAAATTTTAAAGGGTGAAACCTACTGAAAAATAGGTTAATTTTGGCAGTTTTTTTGTTAACGCTGTCATGCATTATATTCCAAAAAAAAAAAACAAAAAAAATGCCACAAATCGACGGGACTTTTTCTAAAAATTCGGAATAAAAAGTTGGAAATTTCGGTGATTTTTTTTTTTTAAGTTTTATAATGTTTGCGCAAGTTTGAAATTTGGATTTATGGGATTGTTGTTAGGTAATGAGCTATACTTTTATATAAACTTTAATAAACATTAAACAAACAAAGAAAAATAGCCAAAACTGTTCAAACACTCGCGCACCTATTATTTTGTGGACAAAAAAATGTCAATGCTATCAACAACTGTCTTATGCCTGCAACACTCATGTGGTATAGAAATTACAAAAACCATCTTCGATTCGCCACTTCTCGGCTCACTTGAGCTCATTTGTGTGTGAAACCCTATTACCCTATGAAGGCGTCTTAACCGACTCCAATCGGGACCAAAATTTATATCTGACATCTTCGGCATTAGTAGTATCGATTTTGGGTATTAGATATAAAATATTAGTTTTAATTTTTTGAGTCTCTAAAAAGAAATCTGAACTTTGGCCCCTCGTTCATTTTATTTTAAAGACCACCCCAATGTATATACTTGCCTAGCATCATACTCGGCAGGGAGTGTTTCCAAAATGAGATAAGAACTTTTGTTTACACCCACTAAATCGCCTATTTTATCTGCATCAATGAATGTAATGCCAGACAAAAAGTAAGAGTGATGTGTTGAAGCTTCAAGAATGGCATATTTGTTAACCCGTACTTTTCCGCATTTTCTTTGATTTCTTCCTTTTGGACCAGAATTTTGTGAGTTATGAGCATAATCCAGTTTTGGAATTATTCGATTAGTTAATTTGACTGAATTTAATAGGGTTAGAGTTAGGAATGTTAATCCCGGGATCCCAGCCTTTTTAAGGTCCCAAAAATCCCGAGACTATTTGCCAAGAATCGGGATTTCGGGATTTGTAATTTGCACTGATGGCAATAATAGAAACTCCTTTTCTTGACCAGTATTGGCTATATTTCTTTTTTTATTTAATAATTAATATTTTTTATAAATGTTTAGCTCAGTATACATATAATTCCGCGCGATAGTAAATTTTAAACACAGACATCAATATATTCGTGAAACCATGGGCCAAATATAGTAAAATTGCGTTTTTAGTTCTTCACTCTGACGTCAGTAATTCAAAAATGATTTAAAAACTTCAGAGAAATGTCCTTAGAGAAGATGTATGGGTATCAAATTGAAGAGGGAACCCTGTAGAATTTAAACAGATTCAAGTTTTTGGTGCAAAAGGTCTGGTAAGTATTGAAAATGTCCTTTTAAAATTGTATCCTTGAAATTTCGCAATATTTGTTTTTGAAAAAAATATATGTTAAGGACTTATATAAACTCGACAACATCCTCGAATTTCGTCCTAACTTAATCAGGTTAAAAAATTACCTATTCGTCCTTGTAAATCCAAAAAATTTTAATTTTTTTAAATTCTAAAAAAAATTTCCTCTTACATTTGGTACCCATATTTTAATTCTACATTGCATTGAATTTTTTAAATCATTTTTGAAGTCAATCATATCTTAGAAATTACAAAGTCCTTTAAAATAAATCCTGACGCCAGAGAAAAAATAAATAAAAACGCCGCTTTAAATAAAAAAGTAGGTTTCAACCCCATTTATTTATTATTTATTTTAGGGTAGGAGAGCTTCTCAAACATAAAGAAGCAGTTTTTTTCGATTTAAGTTGTTGAAAAGTAATGGATATCTAAATCCCGGCACTAATCCCGAAAATTCCGGGATCGGAAAAAGCTGAAAATTAGCATCTCTAGTTAGAGTTAATCATGATTGAATTGATTTTATTCTGCGATCTTTGCCGCTTCTGTGATTCCTCCAAAGAGTCGTCATATTTCCAGGGACTCAAGAGAAATATAGTCCCTATGTGAAGCACATTCACTCCCTGCAGCCTAAAGCTTAAAAGCTGACATTTCACTACACAAATTTGTGTATTTACGTATTCAGCAAGATTAGATAGCTTAGAATTAGGTGATTAATGTTTGACCTACTTAATTTTAGAATGAAATTCCATTTGGTGAAAATTTAAAAGAACATTTGTTATTGAATGTTGGACGAAATTGTGCAGAATTTGTGACGAACAGATTTCAATCCTAGTGGAGCTCTTCTATACCAATTTTTTCTAAATCCAAGAACCCATAGTCCGGTGTTTTTCTTTTAAGTTTAATGATTGAAAGCAGTCTAGGTTATTAGTACTCGTGATTTTCAAGAGATCCGGAGATATGCTTTATATTCTCATCAAAATTCCTTAACGGCATAAAGGAAAGGAAATTTTCGCAAGCCGTAACGGCTTTAAACTGTATCGAAGATTACTTATACGCACCTATACTACAAAAGGTAATCAAACGGCAATTTGAGTTGGTAAAACGAAATCTCTTTTTTTCATTTATTCAATATTTGAACGTTTGCATGGTATGCAACTTTGTATATGCATGGATATTTTTATACCGATATTTTGAAGATAACAGCATAGACAAATTCGTAAGAAATTTTTGAATTTTGATACTTTTTCGCGCGCATGCGTTCACAAGATGAAACGAAGCGCGAGCAAAGTGATTTAGTGTTTGATGAAATGCACTTTTTGAATATGTATGCATATTTTGTTAAAAAGTATTTATAGTATACATATATTTAGAAAAGTTATTTTATTTTGTAAACAGAGTATGGTTAAACTTATTTTATAACTCAGAAACTCTGCTACATACATATAACTCACCAAACAAGAGAAAAAAATTTGTTTTTGTTAAATTTAAAAAAAAAAAATTATTAACAGAACGAAACGCAAGTAGCTACAGCAACAGCAGAAAATCCATCAACATCAAAGCAGCAAGAAGTGGAGCCGCTGGCGCAACCGCCAATAATAGCGACAGAAACAGAGGCTAGTCCACAATCGCCGCCTCGAACAGACGAAAATGAAGCACCAATCGTCCTCAGCCCCACCACCAACGCCGCAAAATGCGCACGAGACAAGGAGGATGATGATAAGGTGGCACAAGAGGATGCCGAAAAGGGTGAATGCGCTGTGGACAATGATGGCGAAGATGTTTCTGCCTCATTCACAATCGTAACAACAACCCGAAAGATCGTCACACCAACAGAAGATGCAACGACTGATGAAAACACCGACGATAATGACGAAGAAGTTAGCGCCTCATACACACTGACACCGCGACATTCGTTTATCGGCAGCGCAGTGCCCAATGAAGCGGTGGAAACGACGATAGTGGTCACTCCACCGGAGATGACTATCAATGAAAGCGCGGTCGCTGAGGAGGTAACGGTCAGGAAAAAACAAGTTGCGAAAGAAACCGAAAACGATGACGAGAATGCGGAAGAGGACGAGGACGACGATGAAGATGAGAGCAGGGATGACGACGACGAAGCGAACGAGAATGAAGCCGAGGATGCAAGCAAACGTGAATCGTTAAAACAGAGCGCTGCAGAAACGTTTCAAGTTGCAGCTGCCGATGTGGAGGCGGAAGATGCCGACGAAGAGCAGAACGAAAACGCAGCTGAAGAGGTGCAAGATGACACGGAGGATGACTCAGATGAAAGTGAAACTATTGAAGTTCACAATTTACAAAATGCAAATGAAAAGACTGAACGCCCTGTGCCGAAACAGATTGAGCCCAGTGAGAATTCCAATACCAAACCCCCCGTCTTAACCACCAGCACAACTTCCAACGAACGTTCCCGCTTAAGCACACTAACACCATTGCCACTAGCAGTGACTACTGTGGGCGCTTCCGCAAGCAAATCCTCAGTGCATCCGACTAGTGCAGTTACTACACCGATTACGCCAACGTCGTCGTCGTCGTCGCCACCGCCACCTACACTCGAAAGCCCTGTGCGCTTGCGTGAAAAACGAATACCCCCCTATGAAACTGACAGCAACAATGCCTTAACGCTTGTCGAGCGGCTGCGTTACGAAGCGAGTAAATATAGTGGGGCTGGTGGTGATGAACTAGTGGCTGTAAGCAAAACACGCTCGCTACCACCAGCGTTACAAGGCGGTGGCGGCGGCGGCGGCGGCGGTGGGACTGAAGATGGCGCTGGCGGTGGCATAACCGCTTGCATTGACAATAATGAGCCAGCGCTGGCGTCAACAGCAACTTACAGCAAAATATTTGGTGGCAGTCGGCGCAGCTTGGATTCGACTTCACTGCCACTACAATGCCATGGCAGCCTGGCAACGGAACAAGCGAATATCAGTGCTTTTGGTAGTATTAGTAGTTGTAGTAGTATTAGCGGTACGGCGACAGCAACGTCGGCGGCGTCGGGCAGCCATGATAGTAGTACGACGGCAGCGGCGTCATCGTTGTCCTCCTCCTCCTCGAATACGATGGCTGAGCGGCGTCCATCTTGGCGTTTGAAATTCGATGCTGGCTGTAAGGTAATACTTCGTACGCGCATGCGTACAACACTTTAGTACAAAAACAAAAAAAAAAACAAAAACGAGAATAATAAGTTCAATATATTACGAAACAAACCACCCACCAAATAATAGATCAATCCAAAAAAACAAAACGTTCAACTATTTCGAGGGGTTTACAATACGCGTGTCTTCACTCGTTTGTTCGTTCGTTCGTTCGTTCGTTGAGTTCAAGTCCGTATACTCGTAGTTGAGACCAAGTACTTGTACAAATGTTTTGTTAGAAAAATATGCCACCTGCAAGCAAAAATTTACTAGAAAGCGCAAGCGTAAAGTTGGTGCATACATACTAGCTATTATCTTGTAAGCCCTGCATAGTTTTATGTTGTTAGTAGTGCCTTCACCAACCATAAAAAAAAAACAAAAAATCCATTAGCGTTGCCAACACAAAACACAAGGCTTTTACAACTTTCTTTAAACGCATTGAAAACGCAAAAGTTTTCTTTCTGTTTTAAAGACAAACAAACATACAGTCATGTACACAAAAATGTAAACTCTTGAACATAAATAACAATTTAAAATTACAAAAAAAAATAAAAAATAAAACAATTTTAAATTGAAGAAATAACACAAATATTGGTTTACGGTCTACTAAAGAATTGAGAAATATATTACATAAATTTAAACTTGCAAAAAAAAAATGTATGTAAGTGAAGAGTGTTTTTATAGAGGTTCGATTTTCTTATGACTTTGAAACAGTCACAAATTAGTCAGATCTGGACACTATTTTATCAATTTTGTAGTAGTCTGTACGAATATATTGTTCATAGGCCATAATAACGCTTGGAAATTGTACAAATTTATTTCGAAAATAATGGTTCAGCTCGGGAATGCCCATTTGTGAACTTTGTGTAAGCTTTGAAACTTTATTTTTTTTTTATATGTTTTTTGTTATGTGTCGAACTATACATATTTTAAATGAAAATTTATCATTTTGAATTTTGCACCTACTCTTTTTTCGACGCCTGTATATTTCTAATAAAGTCAAGTGAGTTTGAAATTAGGTAATTGTTTCAGTTTAAAGCTCTATACATACACCTCAAGAGAACACTCCTTACTAAAATAAATCAATATATTAATAAACTGTTTTTGGCAAAAAAAAATCATTACCTTATCGTACATTAAATCAAAAATTTATATTGAAACTTAAATTTATGTAAATATTTGTATGCTTACCGTCTTAACATGTGCCTCGAAGCCAAGTCATATGGGTACTGCTGTAAATAAAATTTTCTGAAAAGAAACCATTGCATAGTTTTAGTCACAAATTAGAATGAAAAATGCTCTCGCAATTACCTTGAAAAAAATATATCAACCCTGCTGTGACTCAACTACGCGGTGCATGATAAGACTGTTAACATGTTATAATTTATTTTGAAACAGTAATTTAATTTTACTTATATAATATTAATTTTATATACTTATTTATTAATGGATTTTAATTTTATCAAGTAGTTTCTAAATTGAAAATGCCTGCTTTTTATTTACTCCTCTACTGTAATTGGAAGTAGTAGTTTGTATGGTAAACTTTTGTCGCAGCCCAGCAATGTCTATCACCACTCTACTCATACTTTCTTTATGTCTTCCTATCGCTGTTGCTACTACTAATTGTTGCTTTATTTGTATGTATATACTAAATATATATATTATTAGTGTATATAATTGGTTTTTTTTTCAATTATTTATTAACAATGCCTAAAATTATTCACATCTCGTACATCAACCTTAACCTGTGTCTCCTACTAAGCGTCTATACCCACCTAATTATGCTGTTATGTATTAAATGGAATTTTTTTTTTGATTCTTAGATGTGCACTATATTTATGTATATGTACATATGTACACTCATATGTATGTATTTATCTTCGATCTCTAAATTTCCATTTAAAAACTGCACCTTTTGCCGACACTCACTGCTATCACATGTACATCTATGCGTTTCCATCTGTGCCTAAAACTCGCATTTGAAATTGCTTTAAATACTAACAGGAGTGCCTTAATTTTAACAGGGCTTGAACTAGCAAGCTTTATCAAGCTTTTTTCGAAGCGTTGAAACAGGCAAAAATACAATAAAGGCCAATTTTTATTTTCCTTTAACAATAATTGCATTACTTATGTTTCGAAAGTGTCTATTTTCGAATTCAGTTACGCAGAAAATTAAAATTTTTTGTTATAAAATTAAGGGCTAGATTTCTCGACCATCTTTTGTTTTATTACAGATTGAAATATGCTGCAAAAGAAGCTCTCTAAATACTAAGATTTCTAGTGGTTCTCAATATACTTCTGCACCTATTTCCTTCATGAACTTCATTCGGACATATTTTTTACGGGGAATTATGAAAAAATGTATAGTCTGATGCATACATTAATGCAAATCCATAGCTGCGCTAACCACTATTTTGCGATACGTTTTTTTTTTTAATAATTTCATTGAATAGATTTTAGCTCAAAAATAATTTAATTTCTTTTATTTTTTTATTTATCACTTGTTAACAAATTTGTTTAAAATCCAAAAGGCTCGCGTGTTTTTTAAATACAAGTTCCTTGAATTTATTTTATAGATATATCGGTCAAGTCAGCTATAGACATATTGAAAATTAACCATTTTACATACATTTGTAAGGTACTCTTTGGCATTTCTGGATAATGTATACACACAGTGATCGCGACCTTTATTAGCGACTGTTTAGAAGCCAATTTATTTTACGACCATCCATTAAATAAGTTTCGTCCCGCCAAACAGTGGTCCGATTTAGCTTGACTCTCGTGCGTACATATTTTTTAGCACGTATGTAGGTCTGAATTTTCTGCGTATTGAATGAGCTGCTTATTGGCAAATGATGACACTACTTATAGGTTCGAAATTTCTTTTGTATGGAAACTAATGCTCATTAACTCCAATAAACAAATAAAGAGGTTATGGTAAAAAAAAAACACGACAAACTGTAATTGCAAAGTGAAAGGCAAATTCATTTTATAAAGTAGAAAACTACACCTCCCGCAAACCTGTATGTAGATTGCCATATTTCTCTTAAAATGTTGTGTGTTTTTGTGTGCACCCATTTACCAAAAAACGTAGAACGTTTATTACCCTTTTGAAGTACTTGATTACTTAACGTACCTACACCTCTATTAACGTGCGGTTCCGAACTCTTCACACAATCAAGATACATTTTGCCTAAGTAGCCTAATAATTGCATAG